TTTAGTGGCTGAAACACGGTACTCGCTCGCTGTGGAGTAGCAAGAATGGGACAGTCTCTTAGACTGGGGGCTGGATTACTGGCACAAGAAAGGACGACGATGAACTACTTGAGTGCGTGGGATGTCTTCAAGGCAAACTGTACAATCCCTTAAGTGGATCCGAGTTCGTTGTCACATGCGAACTGAATGGATCCGCAGCATTTACACTGCTCGCAAATGCACGAGAACGGGCTGGAGAGAAGTGTACCCGGATGCCGTTTCCTGAGCTCAGCTTCCGCTGCCATCCACAAGCCTAACCGTGCTTGAATACTCTAGTTGTCTGAGCTGCCTTACCTCCAGTTGTTCCCTACCTCTGTCTGAGTGTTCGCAGCAGGACTTTGGTATCGACGCAAGTGCTGCTCATTGAGGATAGCAACGCGGCCCACGAACGGCGAACGGCCATGAAATCCTTCATCATCATCCGCGCGCGCTCTCGGGTGAGGGAAGTGTTACATCTTCCAACCCATTCTTCTCGCCCATAGCAGGGACCGTCCTCGTGGGTGACAAATTGCGCTGTTGAAATTGCCATTTCTTAGCTTCTTCCAACTTTTTTCTCGCTACTGTATGTCGATCGATGTTTATATTTCTGATTCTCTGCATAATATTTTCAATTTTGTCTACCTGAACCAAGTAGTCGATTAGGTTCGTTTGAAAGACGTCGGTGATTTGGTAAGTCAGTAAATTTCTCTCTGTCTGTATGTCCAGATCCGTCTACCACTGTACCTGTTTGAGTGTGTCTGAGTCTCTTTCGTGTGAGTCATTTACCAGTCAGTTAGTAGGTCTCTGTCGGTATGTCTGTCCGTCTGTTTGTCATCATGTTGTTATTATTTCTGTCGAGGTCCACGTTTTTCATTTAGTCAGCTGGAGCAGTAAGTCAACATCCTGCACATTTCTCTTTGTCTTGATGTACGTCTGTCTGTCTGTCTGTCTGTCTGTCTGTCTGTCTTCCCTCTGTCTGTCTGTCTGTCTGTCTGTCTGTCTGTCTGTCTGTCTGTCTGTCTCTCTGTCCGCCTGTCTGTCTGTCAGTCGGTTGCGTCAGTCACTGTAATGTGTCTAGTGTAAGTGTGAAGTGTGTCGCAGCAGAAAGGGGCGGTGTTGTCGTGGGCGGGGCATATAACGCGATCTATTGTGTGCTATTTTGCGGGGGAGGGGCGCTTCGTGCAAGGTTTGCAAAGAAAAAAGCCGCTTCGCGGGACAATCCAAAAAAAGTAAGTCAGTAAGTCAGTCCGTCTGTCTGTTCGTCTATTGTCTCTTTGCCAATCAATTAGTCAGTAAGTCAGTTTGTCAGCCGGTCAGTCAGTTAGTCTATCTATTTGTATGGCTAGCTGGCTGGCTGTCTCTCTCTCTGTCTGTCTGTCTGTCTGTCTAACCCTCTGTCTCTCTGTCTACTCGTGCCTTCCCCTTCAAGTTGAATGTAAGAACTTGCAGGCCGCCCAGTATCATGGCAATAAGTACGTGCAATGCGCAGTACATCACCTCACCATATTCTTTGTCGGTCTCTTCAATGCTGCAGTGGATA